CCACCGCTGCCACTGCCACCTCCACTGCCACATCCACCACCACCACCGCCACTGCCTCCACCACCATGATTGCGACCACCGCCTCTACTGCCACCGCCACTGCCTCCACTGCCACTGCCACCACCACCACCACCACCGCTGCCACCTCCATTGCCACCTCCACTGCCACTGCCACCTCCACCACCACTGCCTCCACTGCCACCACCACCACCACCATGCCACCAGCCACAGAAACAGGCACATGGCTGGGCAGCAGCCCAGGGGTGACCACTGTGGTGCCTTTCCTCTCGACGAGATCAACATCCCAAGCCACATCCCTAAACCCCAGCCACACGGCCACACACAGGACGTCTGCCACCAGGAGCCTCACGGCTCCTCCAGGTTCCACAAAGCCCACCACCCCAGAGAGAGCCACGTCAGTCCTTCCAACTCGCACAACCCTGCAGGGGACCACAGGGGGCACCTCACAGGGACCCACCTCCAGGGCTCACGCGACTACAGGAGCACCAGCCAGCACAGCCAGCACCATCTCAACCAGCCCGCCACCCACCTCACGCACCAAGACGAGCACATCAGGAGCAGAGACGCCAACAGGAACTCTGGTACCAACGGCCACGACCGAGGCCAACACCAACCAGGGCACAACCAGCTGTCAGCCCAAGTGCGAGTGGACGGAGTGGTTTGATGTGGATTTCCCAACCTCGGGGGTCACAGGAGGCGACATGGAGACCTACGACAACATCAGGGCTGCGGGGGGCAGGATGTGCGCGGAGCCAAAGAGTATAGAGTGCCGGGCGGAGAATTACCCCGAGGTGAGCATTGACCGGATCGGGCAGGTGGTCAGCTGCAGCCTGCAGGCCGGGCTGGTATGCAGGAATGAAGACCAGCAGGGCAACTTCAACATGTGCTTCAACTACAACATCCGCGTGCTCTGCTGTGACTACGGCCACTGTCCCAGCACCCCGGCCACCACCACAGTCACTCCCCCGGGGACCACCCTGGGACTGACCTCCCCAACGGCCAGTGGCACCAATGCCCAGTCCATGACCACCCCGAGCCCCAGCACAGGCCCCAGCACAGTGACCTCCGGGTGCCAGCTCTCCTGCCACTGGACCAACTGGCTGGATAGTGACCAGCCCTTTCCTGGCTACAATGGGGGTGACATCGAGACCTACTATCACATCGTGGGTGCAGGAGGCCAGCTCTGCTTGGAGCCAGTAGCCATCGAATGCGAGGCCGTCCTCTATCCCGAAATACCCCTCGGGCAGCTGGGCCAGGTGGTGCAGTGCAACGTGGATTACGGGCTCATCTGCAGAAACAGCTGGCAGAGCGGAGGCCAGACCTGCCTCAACTACCACATCCGCGTGCGCTGCTGTGATGACTACAGCCACTGCCCCAGCTCGGCTGC